CCTTAGTTGATAATGCACTAGTAAGCGTCTATTTATTGTTTATTTCAGGAGATGAGAGGTCTCCCAGTTGGAAAATTCCAAGGTCATTATGATCTACCAATGCACCGAAATGACGAGGAAATGGCAGTATGTTTTGAGCGCCATGTGTGATATTAAGTTGTCTATTGCACCAGTTAATGCTGGTTTACTTGTTAGTCATGAATTAGCGTCGCTCGTAGCAGCAATAAAACGCGATTTTCGCGACGGTGAACTTATCCAGGTAAATGTAGATAACTGCCGCAACTGCAGTTGTAGACTTCCACTTGCGAAGGCGTTCCAGTGAGGAACAGACACCCACATTTACCTACAATCAACGAACCGATCAAGCTCTCTACGTCATCACACAAGCCTACGTTACCACCGGTATCTGAAGTTCCCCGCCATTTTCCGGGTTTGTCCATATCATTTAGACGGATAAGTTCTTGAGACGTGTTGCTAATTTCGGCTGCCAGAGGACTACTCATACCTCAATATTGTGAACAAGGCCGGTTGGTGCACAAATATGAGCTATGTATTACCCGGTCTGGGTCTTCCATGAGCGCAGTATGCTGGGTGTATTTCGGAGCAGGCAGCCGCGAAATGCTAGATAATCATCAGCCTCTGTAATGGAAAAACATAAGACACGCATGTGAATACATCAATATATAACAGACAAACAAACAGACAGACAGAGGGACAGACAGACAGACGGACAGGCAGGCAGATAGACAGAGAAAAACAGAGAGGCATACAGAGAGGCAGACCGGCACGCATGCAGGCAGACAGATGGACAGGCAGACAGACAGACATGCATGCGTACGTACATGACTACATTACAATAGGACGGCCTCAGTCTCCGACAGACGCTACAGTATGTACAAAACCCACCAGTTTATGAACGCAGATGTAAATTGCTATTCATAGCATTACGGAATTCTGAGTTTCTCTTCCTCACTCTTCTCCCACGTCTCTATAGTCTTGCACTGATGAGTAGCACTCAGAGTCTTACCCGTGGGTCAAGTGTCCAGAAAGCGCGCCAAAAATCACGTGGTTTTCGCTTGGTAAATGTTGTCTGAATTTAGCGCTGCTGTTATATTGGTGTTTCAAAAGCAGCGTCACCATGGCAACGTGACCTATCACCTAGCGTTGTAGAATTAACAAAGTCGATCACGACGAGAAGGTTGGCCGACAGTTTCTCATCTTACTCAAACTGAATGACAGCATTAACGTGAGCTCAAGAAGGTTAGTTGCTGTGACCATTCGCGTACAAGCTAAGTTTATGTTACTAGGAGAATTGGGATTCACAGATAGAACCGATGGCGGCCACATCGTGAAGCATTCCGCAACAAATGACAGTGTTTGACAGTTGCGCGTTACCTGCTAGTCATCTGCTTGCAAGTAACGTTATGAGTGCTTTGCGTAAGTGGCTTCGAGAAGCACGAAAGAGTATGGCTTTCTTAGCCTACATTTTCCACTCAAAGTTCAATTAACGTTGCGTTAGTTGGCCAAAGACAGATTGAAATACAGTGTTTTCAACAGTTTTTTTCTTCAAGAAGATACCGGTGATATAGAAGGGAATGCTGATGGCCAAATTTGGCCAAACGTTCCATCCGCAATCGAGTTCATATTCTCCGTGCCCTGGGGTGAAGAGGAGCGAGGCGGAGCTTGTATTGATAGTTCTCTTCCAAAGCAGTTTGGGGCAATTTGATTTCTCTTCTCTAATATAAAAACATAGGATTTATTATAAAAGGCAAGCTTAAAGGATTTTCGGTCAACACAGTCAACAAACAGAATGGCCCATAATCCAGTTAAACAGGTTACCATCTCAGAAGATTGTTTCATTGAGGGTGAGGTATTTCTTTCCCTTTAAGTCAAAATGAAATATCTTTGATCCGCTTGAAGAGACGTCAAAGGAGAACGCTGTACATGAAGAGCCGTACTGACAGGGTTGGAACGGCAGTTTTGAAACCATCGGACCTCATCCATCACAGAGCTGATTGTGGATTTGGAACCAAGGTAGAAATTTTCCAAGTCATCATTCACCTTCGTATTTTATGTGGGTCCGACAAGTACAGCTTCCGTTCAAGGTCATCCAGGGAAAATGCTATTTGGCCACCGATGCCTGAGGACAATTTTGAAAGTAAACTGCTCGATAGAGCTTCGGAAGTTTCGAAGGAGGTCGGACGGATTGTAAGCTGTTAAACGTCTGTTAAGGTTGGGTAATTGCGGATTTTTGTACAACTCAGCGGTTCGGTCACCGTCTGTGACCTCCGTCAGCAAGAATCGCAAACGGTTACTTATTACATAACACTGAGTGATCAGACTACAAGATGACGACCGATAGTTCAAGACATCACGACCACTTGTACTCGGGTTGAAGCTGAAGTCATCTAGTCACGCTGCTGTTAACTGGTAGATTCATTTGTAGCTGGTCGGGCAGCTAGGGTGTAAATGCCCGGTCGTGATCTGTGTTGCGTCGTGGTCTAACAATCTGAAGTCTCATTGATTGGTTATGTAGCTTCCACATTTAGTATATTACCGTCCATTCTCAACTCCGATTCATCTCCATGAATCTGGTTTTCCGAGTTGGTTCAGTTCAGTTCAGTTCAGTTCAGTAGATATCAGTACAGTTTTTTCAGTTTAATTTCTCTCGGTTCAGTTCAGTGTCTCAGGTTATCCGACTGACCCCTTGACCGTTGTGGCATTGGTGAACTCACTGTGAACCGAACCCTAGCCGCAATATCCTGTCAATACGACGAGATAATTGATTTCGTTAGGACGTACCAAGGAGCAGTCGCGAAGCGGCGTCCCCTTATTTTCATCCGTGCCGTGTTCAGCATCACTGAGGAATGTGAGGA